AAATGTAGTTTTTCTAAAACTGGGAATACGATTCTCGGAAGGGACAAAAGAAATTTTTGAAATTTCGCCCAGCCACTCTGCATGGTTCGGCCATCCATATGATGGATTTCCCTTTCCCTTCACTGACGTGAGGTTTAAACGACAAGGCTAGTAGCAGTGAGGGGAGTGTGAGGGGGGGAGAAAGTTTTGAGGATTAAGGTTGCTTTTTTGCTTTAGGTTTTTGTAATGGAGATAAAGTTGCTATCTTGGAATGTAAGGGGTTTGGGGTCGGGTAGAAGAAGGTTTGTAGTGTGTGAGTCTTTGAAGAAGTCGGGGTAAAAAATTATTTTGTTGCAAGAAACCAAACTGGAGAGTGTAGAGGCTGCAGTAGTTAGAAGCATCTGGGGGGAGGGAGAAGTTAGATGGAGAGCATAGTTGGCAGTTGGAAGTGCAGGGGGGCTGCTGAGTATGTGGGATCCGTTGGTTTGTAGCTTGATATCCTCTCATATTGGAAACTTCTCCATTTCCCTAGTTCTGAAATTTGCAGATGGGAATTTTTGTCAGGTCACAAATGTTTATGGTCCTAATGATCGAAGTATGCGGGAGGAGTTTGGGGAGGAACTGGCTATGGCAAGGGGAAGTATGCCTTACCCTTGGGTTATTGGTGGTGATTTTAATGTCACTTTGTCTGATGAAGAGAGAAATTCTAGAGGGAGAAGATCCAAGGATATGGTGCAGTTTGCTGACTTCATCAACAGATTTGAATTGATTGACTTACCTCTACATGGTAATCGGTTTACTTGGACCAACAATCAAGATATCCCTACTCTTGTGAGACTGGATAGGTTTTTGGTTACCTCTAATTGGGATGAGCTCTTTCCAAATTTCAAGCAGATTGCTCTTCCTAGCCTAGTTTCATATCACATTCCAATTCAGCTAGTTTGTGGTGCCAGAGGTAGAGTAAAAGCCCCTTTCAAAATGGAGAATGCTTGGTTTGAAGTTGCCACTCTTGTTCCTTTGTTGAAGATAGTGGGATGATCTGCAAGTAATGGGAACCAGCTCTTACATTCTAGCAAAAAAATTGGGTGCCATCAAAGCAAGATTAAAGATTTGGAAATTGGAGAAAAGCAGGAATTTAGATACAGAAAATAAAGCTCTTTTGAGTACCATAAAGGAAATTGATTCAGCAGAAGAGTTGGGTCTTTTATCAGAGGAGTATAGATTAAAAAGATCTCACGTGAAGTTGAAGTATGATAAATTGTTTGTAAAAGATGAAATTAAATGGAGACAAAGAGCTAAAGTGGTTTGGCTAAAAGAGGGGGACAGAAACACACACTTCTTTCATAAAATGGAAAATGCAAGAGCTAGAACTTATGTAATTACCAGGTTGGAAGGGGAGGGCAGGGTGGGTGTCTCTAAGGCAGATATGAAGACAGTGGCAACCAGCTTTTATAAAAATTTGTATAAAGAGTCCTGGTTCTTCAGACCTTTTCCTAGGTCCCTTCCTTTTAAACAATTGAATGATGTGCAGTCTTCTTTCATTGAAAGACCTTTCATGGAGGAGGAGATAAAAACAGAAATTAAGATGTTGGCTAATGAGAAATCCCCGGGGCTTGATGGTCTCACAAATATTTTCTACACTAAATGTTGGGACTTTGTGAAACAGGATATTCTAAATGTCTTCCAAGGATTTTATGAGAGAGGTTCTTTGCAGAGGAGTTTAAACACTACCTTTATCACCCTTATTCCTAAGGTTGAAGGTGCAGTGAACATTAAAGATTTCAGGCAGATTAGTCTTCTGCATAGTTTCTATAAAATCTCAGCCAAAGTTCTTGCTGAGAGAATGAAAGGGGTTCTAGGTAGTGTTATCTCTAACAATCAAAGTGCCTTTGTTTTGGGTAGACAGATACTGGACTCAGTCCTTATTGCAAATGAGCTTATCCATTCAAGAAGAAAAAAAGGTTCCCTAGGGCTGATCTGCAAACTTGATATTGAAAAGGCTTATGATCATGTTAACTGGAGATGTGTTGATCATGTGTTGCAGCAGATGAATTTTGGGCAGAAATGGAGGAATTGGATAAAAGTATGTATTACCTCTCCAAAATTTTCAGTCTTGATTAATGGACATTCCGCAGGCTTCTTTGATAGTTCCAGGGGTCTTAGACAGGGTGATCCCTTGTCTCCCTTACTATTTATATGTGTAATGGAGATCCTCACTCTGTTCTGTAAAACTGGTGAGTGGGAAGGTTTTGCAATTACTCCGCGGGGGGAGAAGGTGAACATCCTCCAATTTGCAGATGATACTTTATGTTTTGTGGATGCTTCTCCCTCCCTGATGGATTTAATTCTTGGGATCTTATCTTGGTTTGAGGTGGTCTCTGGCCTAAAGTCAATTGGAATAAAAGTCAAATAATCATTCCAATGGGCCAAGTTTCCAATTTAGCAGATTGTATAGAAATTTTGGCTTGTCAGATTGAGTCCCTCCCAGTCAAATATTTGGGTCTTCCTCTGGGGGCGAGTTGTGGGTTATCTTCAATTTGGGACCCGGTAATTGAAAGAATGGGAGAAAATTGGCTTCTTGGAAGGCAAAATACCTTTATTTTGGGGGTCGGTGACCTTGATTAAGAGCACACTTTCCAATTTACCTACTTATTTCCTATCCCTTTTCCCTATTCCTAACAAAGTTGCAAGAAAGCTTGAAAAACTTCAAAGGAATTTTCTTTGGAGGGGTTGGGAAGAGGAGAAAAAAGTTCATTTGGTTAGTTGGGATCAAGTCTGCCTCCCCAAAGATGAAGGGTGGTTAGGCATATGGAAGTTGAAATCCTTTAACTTTGCCCTTCTCTGTAAGTGGATTTGGAGATTTGCGGCTAAGAATGATGCCTGGTGGAGATCTCTCATTGCTGGTAAGTATGGAGTGGAGTGGGGCAATTGGAGAACTAGGGACCCTCCTCCCAGTTGGGGAAACTCTCTGTGGAAAGGGATAATGAAGAATTTCTCAGCTCTTGCTGATGGGATCTCAATTAAAGTTGGCAATGGTAATAGGACCAAGTTTTGGAAGGATTCTTGGTGCTTGTAGGGCCCCCTTGCTGAATCTTTTCCTCTCCTCTTCTAGTGTGCTTCTAACCAAGAGGCTTCCGTTGCTGAGTACTGCAGTTTATCTGGTGATTCAGTTCTTTGGTCCCCTTCCTTTAGAAGGAACCTTTTTGACTGGGAGGTGGAAGAGATAACGAACCTGTTGACTTTTCTTCAAAATCAAGAGGTAGATTTAAGCTCAGAAGATAAGTGGCAGTGGAAGTGGAATCCAGATGGTGTTTTCTCTGTCAAGTCTCTGGCTTCTAATCTCCGTAGAAGGGGTGTTACTGATTTCCCTTGCCATCAGGTGTGGAATTCCATTAGCCCAACTAAATCTAATTTTCTAGTTTGGACTATGGCTCTAGACAAATGTCTGGCTAGAGCTAACCTTGTGAGAAGGGGCATTCAGCTTTTGGACCTTTCAAGCAGCTTGTGTGGGAGCAATTCCGAAACTACTGATCATTTCTGCATTCACTGCCCGTTTTCTTCTCAGCTGTGGAATCGTTTCTTCAGCTCTATGAACTTAAGATGAGTTATGCCAAGTTCGGTAAAGGAGCTTTTGTGTTGCTGGAAGCTTAAGGGGTTGAACAAGAAAAGGAAGATTGTGTGGAAGACTATTCCTAGTGCTGTTTTATGGTCAATCTGGTCTGAGAGGAATAGAAGGATCTTCTGTAACAAGGCTTTAAGTCCGGAAGAGCTAATCCAGAAAGCTGTGGGCAAATTAATCTCTTGGGTGTCAATTTCTGAGGAATTCAGAAATTGTAATTTGTCTGTAGTTTTTCTTTCTAGTTCTTGGTGGAATATGTAACTGCTGATTTGGTCAGTCGGCCTTTCTGGGACTGATCTCAGCTTACTTGTGTATCTCTTGATTCAATAATTATTACTTTACCTTTTTCAAAAAAAAAAAAAAGATATAGCACTAAACAGAATGGAGTGGCAAAACAAAATTCATGTAGCCGACTCCATATAGTTGGAATAAGACCTGGGTGATGATGATTAATAGCAATGTTAAGTTAATGATACCTGGATACCTGTACAAGGGTGCCGCATAGTGTCATATACTCCAATTTTTAGTGTAAATTCTGGATCCAACACCTTGCCCAGCTGCGTCCTAGCCATATCTAGGTAACATATGCTAGGTGGTAAAATGAGGGAAAGTAGAATAAGATGGTTTAGGCATGTAAAATGAAGTAACTTCACTGGAATGGAGAAGTGACCTAATGAAAACTGAAAGGTCTATAAGAGTTAAGGGCATGGAAAAAAGAACATAGACTGAGGTGGTAAAAAACAACTTAAGGGATCACTTTGTGAAATACTGTTTTCACTCCATAAAATACATTTTCTTTCTGAATGCAAAAATGCAACTGTCTGTACTAGCAAGATAATATAAGGAATGAATGTAACTATATGTATATTGAGGAGATATAATATACACATGAGAAGAATTAAACAATGAGATCTACTAAAATTATGATTCACAGGGTACACAAGCAGGACCCCAAAAGCCAAAATTTTGATCCAATTGAATACACAACTTTTTTTCTACTTTTTTATATAACAGGTATCAAAGATTTTCTCACATATGATCGTGGTGCATCCTGGCATTTTTCACCATATATAATTTAGTCATTTGACCACTTTATTTACATTTTCAGGAAAGCAAGTTCAATCTCCTGCCTCAAAGTTCAACCCATAACCCATACAATTCCTAGTAGCAACATCCATCTGGACTTGTTTTGCTTTTTGTTTGTTATCATTTTCCTATTTTGCCAAATCCATATGGTTGGGACAAGGCTTATATGATGAGATTTTTCCTATTTTCTTATTTTCTTGGTTAGTAATTTGAGATGAAACCTCTGACCTCATAATTGTTACTTGTTAGACAGGATGGTTATTTCCAGATGATTCTCAACTGAACTTCCTTTTCAACATTGTCTAGAGAAGCATACCTCATTTTTCTCATTGATTACAAACCCCCCGACCCCAACTTGATGTGAAGCATTAGCAGGGAGCATGCAAGGTCCTTCAGGAATCCAGTATGTCAACATTACATATCCTGGCTCTGCATGGTGATATCTGAATCCTTCCTGTAATCAAATTAATAATCTTCAGGGACACCATTAATTGCAAAGGTAAAACAATCATCTCCTAAAAAACCAATCAATAGCACAAGTACACATGAGAGTCAAATGAAGCAGTTCAATATATTTGTGCTCTATCATGTTGGGTTGAAAGGAAAAAAAAAAGTAGTTGAACAATTAAAAATGTTGTGTCTAATAAAGTCTAACATTGTATAGAAAAAAAGAAAGAAAAAGAAAAGAAAAGAAAGGAAAGAAATTAAAGGAGTCTACCTTCACAGCAACAGGAACAAGCTCAGACAGCTCTATAGGTAACTTGAGCCAAACGCCCTTCTTTCCCTGCAAGTGAAGCAGATTCTAGATTAGGAAACAAAGATGAATCAAAAGAAAAAGATTTGACAACCAAGAAGGCTAAATACTTGTGCAAAAAGGATTTTCATTTTCTGAATTTTGGCAGTGTATATCTATATGATGGATGCATGCTGATGGTTCTAGATAAATAATCTGTTAGATGTCACTTGCTTTTGACTATTAATCTGATAAATAATCTTGTTACCAAAAAAAAATCTGATAAATAATCTGTTAGATGTCAAGTGTGAAGTATGCTGATAAAATCTGCAACAATTAAGTAGAAACCTAACAAGAAATAGGACATTCAGAAGATGGAAGAAGAATAGGAGAAGAAAGAATGACAAAGGTTGGAGAGAAGGGGAAATCATGGGGTGTGTGTTCACTGTTCAGCCTTTATCTATGATGCTGAATATGAGCAGAAATTATAATTGTACTCCTGGTGACAATAATAAAATTAGAAATGATATAAAACACACCCGAACTGACTTCTCAGCATAGATAGACTTATTCCTAGTCCATTGTTTTGTATTTTACATTGTGTGAACTGCATTATTTTGAAGACACACCACATAGAATTAATTAAATGGTTTGGAAAATTCTGTTTGGGTTTCCTAACTCACCATATCAGACACAGAACAAGTATCAATATCTTTATTACTTGGCATATTGGAAATTGGTTATCTCCATGCTTCTCAATGCACATAATCAAATTACAAATGCTTTGAAGAACATTCCCAGATGCATTAGGATGGGATTATTAGTGGTCTAATGCCCTGTACATTCATTCATTAACAGTACCTAATTTAGTCAACTGCAGGGTGGTAATTTCCCAAAGTCAGGTCTATCCCCACCAATTGCTCAAACTTTAGTGGCTACAAAGTTGTACTTGAACTTATAGCTTGACCAGATGATTCTTTATGGCAGAAGCATGAGGCCACAAGTTTAATCACGTGTCACCATCTCCCTTGAAACCCAGAAACATTAAATTATAGTATAGAACAGGATACCATGTACTGAAATTTGAATCCACAGTCCAAAAACAACATCGTATTCAAGAAAACTAGGTTACTGATACATTGGTTAATTGTATCGACAGTGTGACAGTGAAAAAGGTTCTTCTCATTAAACCCTATGACAATTTCATTACTTTATATGGACCAGAACTAGCAAGAGATGTATAACCATATTTTATATACCATTTAGGACTTCCAACACAAAATTATTCTATAATTTTAAACAATTAGTTCACTGTAATCCACTTACATGGTAGGTACTATAATGTTAGAAGAAATCAAGGAAAGAGAAGAAAAGTTACCTTCCTTTTCCAATGAGAAAGAGATGACCGTAGAATAGAAGCAAAGGTATTCGGATTAGGTGGTAATTTTTCTGGTTTAATGACAACCCCCTCATATTCATCCTCAAAGGCATCCATTACAATTCTTTCTCTAGTGAATGGACTTGAGCTTGCACCATTTGCTTTGATAATCTGAGATGAACCATTTACCACGGCAAATTCATCTTGGTTGACTGAATTCATAGTTTTTTGTGAAGTTCTTGAAGTTAAATAAGAAGCCTTCAGCAAAACTCCTGAATAAGAAAATAAGAAATCTCTAATACAAATTGAAATTAAATTAAAAAAGAAAAGAATAAAACATAAGCTTACTCTTGCATACAAATGGGAAGCATCCCATTTGTATGCAAGAGTGCAAAGACAAATATGCATGGTTTATATACATAGGCTCCGTTTGTATTTGCACTCTTCCCGAACCGAGCCTTAGCTTCAGAAATCAAAAGTAGCCAAAATCTTACTCCAATTGCTATCTGTTCAGTCTTATGGACTAATCAAAAAATCCCAAGTTGAAAGCAATCAAAACTTATTTGAAGCACCAAGCTAATACTGGAAGGACAATAGTAGACAAGAATCTAAAATTTCTTGAGAGAAAAAAAAAAAAAAAAAAAGAGAAAGGAGACAATATAGGCCTTTAGTGTGTATAAATTTGCACTCATTCATTTTATCTGTAGTGAATTTTCTGCTTCTGAGTTCATGGCACTCTCTGCTTATCAATCTAAAAAGCCACAAAACTCACTGAAACCAAAATGTGCGTGAACTTTTTTAGATGTAAACACCGGAAAATTCATTTTACTCAATCATCGCTGCTGTTAGTAGTACTTATTTCTGATTTTGAGTTTGCCGCATTTTCTAGTTATCGATCAAAACAACTAGAAACTCATCAAGACCCAAATAGAGAAAGATCCGTTGTACCTACTCATCGATGAGTTAAAAGCCACAACAACTCCAACAAATATTTCCAAAATCTAAACCTGAAAAGAAGAAAGGCAGACAAAATAAGCACTACCTCTGTACGAAAGGAACTGCCGCAAGATTTTGACACCATCCTGGTACTTTGAAATTGGATTCGGGCAAGTCCTCCCCAAACACACCATTTCAGACGCAGAAACAGACCTTGAATCAAACAACTTCTGCTCCATATCTAACACTTAAAGCCTTATCCACCAACACTAAAAAGTAAAAATTTCAGAGTCCGATGCATGCGGATTCAGATTCTACGAATATCACAAAACAAAGTGAGGAGAAAAAGGGGGGGACACCTGTCCCTTTACACCCTCCTAAGAAAAATCTGGACTGCCTAAACACAAAAGCATGACTATGGGATTGAATGATTGATCGTCTCTCAGGATGAACTAGAGTCCACAGTATGAGATATTATACTTACAGACCCACGTAAAGACAACCACCATAAATGGCTGATTTAAGCTCATATATGAAGTGGGCGCTTGTCTGTTTGGTTATAATTTGTGGTGCTAAATGTGCTTTCTGTGAGAAAGAAATCCATGGCCGAGCCAATTAAAAAACTAATCTGCCTTCACATGTAGATACAGAATGAACAAAACGAGGGGAAACGAAAATAAAATTAATAAATAATTTAAAATTTTTGAGATAGAGACCAGTACAGTGTGGCCGATGCTGCTGGAAGGAGGGACCGGGGGGCGGGGGGAAAGAGGGATAATTGTTCTGAAATTAAAAAGACGTTATTATTTAACGGAAAATTGCGTGAACAGCAGAAAAGCATGTGACGCTCGGAATTTGGAGTGGGGGCCATGATAAGATAAGTCTGAGCTCATATTATTGCTTTGATTGTTAGATTAGAATCTCTTAAATCTCTGTTCTCAGGCTTCTACAATGCTTAATCACTGAAAGATTCCAATCCAAGTGTGCAACTACATGCGACTGCATATTTATGGACTTGATCACAATCTTCAAATGTTTTGATGATCTGTGATTGCTTAACGGGCGGTAGATTGGTAGAAGTAGAACCAAGTGATTGGCATTAGAGGTTTTGTGGTAGTATAAATATCGTAGTAAAAAAGTACAGTATCGTCACCTCGAGATTATTATTTTATTTTTCTTTTCCTTTATAGGAAATTCTATTAAAATATTGTGGTTGTTGAGGCTTCGTATAGCAGAAAATTACACGTGTCAACTGTGATAGCGACGTTCAAACGAGGAAAATGTGAATTTTATTTGGAGAAGTCCTTGGGAGATTTTATTAAATGGCTCGAGGACTTTTCCACAAGTTTTCGATTTCGGTAATTTTCACGGCAACCAAGCAAAGTAGATTTTTCATTTTAAATTTATTTTCAGAAGTTTTTTTTTTTAAATCCCACAAAAGGCAAATTTAATTCCATCAACGTTAATCTCACCAGTGGATGCAAACGGGAGGGATCGGATTTGAATCGGATTATATCTGAATCCAATTCGATAGAAAATCCATATGATTAGAATTTAAGTTCATCGGATTTTTAACTTTATTCGATTTCAATTCGGCTTTTGTAACCTGTCCAACATGAGAGAACAAATGAATTAGGAGTCGCCTTCAAAACTTTTTACTATGATACAAGGGAACATATTATCTCCAAAGTTGACAGATGTTACATTTTTAACTGAAATTTTAGTCAAGGCTATGTTTTTGTAGTAGTAAAATTTTCACCTGGTTCAGTTTTGCATATGTCTTTTTTTTTTTTATTTGCACTCTAATTTGATATAAAACTAGAACTTTCGTCGTATTTGCACTTTTTGGCAGTGCAAATTTGCATTTCAAAAACTGTTGAGATATTTGCACCACCTTCTTCTATCAATCCTCTCATATAAACTGAATACCATATCATCTTGCTTCTTACCTCATTCCAAACACATATCTCTCCTACCTCCGTTTTCTTTCATAATTCATATAAAGTAAGGATCATATTTGAACAAAAAAGGTGAAGACAATATCACTTTACTTCCTATTTTATTTTTCTCAAGTCAAGTATAAAGAAAAATAAATTAGAATTTACACTCTCATGCATTTACAATAATGCAAATTTACTAAACAAGTGAAACTTAGACCCTGTTCGTTTTTTGGTAAGTTATTTACCCAGGTAAATGTAGTTATCTGAGTAAGTTTTCATAGGAAACACTTACCTGAGTAAGTGCATTTATTCATGTTCTTTTATTTTTCATGTCAATAAGACAATGATCATTTTAGTCATAAAAATCCATTATTAAAAGAGGCATTTTTGTCCCATTCAAGTAGTGGCAACTTTCCTCCTAGGTGGGAAAGTTATTTATCTACCTAAGAAATGGATAAGTGATACTCAAGAACATAAACTTTCCCTAATTTCTACATAAATCTAAAAAAAGAACATGAAATTTTTTGTCAATGGGAACCAAAATTCCATTGACCGACTTTCTCCCCTCTCAAAATATGAAAAAAGAATGCCCCCTTGAAGGGAAAAACTTCAATATAGTGAAGGGAAAAAATCTTATAAAGTTCATGATAGTTCTCTCTTTCCCTCAATTTTGTTTCTTTGTTTTTTTTTTCAAAGCAAGCATGGCCTAAGCATTTCTAGATGGATACTTAAATCATGGTTTTGAAAACTGGACTAGACAGTCGGACCCGTCAGACAATCGATTCTGTTTCACCCTAAAACTACACCTAGGCCAAAAATTGTTGATTCGGTGTTCGAACTGTTTACCTGGACAATGATTTTTTTGACACTTTTTATTTTAATTATTTATTTTTTTAAATCAGAAGGAATCATTCATTTGACCTAGAAACCGATCCCCAAAACAGTTCCGTATCCGATCCTGTTTTTAAAACCTTCATTTAAATTGTGCAATTAAGGTCAAGCTCGGGTGATGTCTTTGAACTATGCCTTTTTACCTTTTTTTTTCAGCTAACTTTCCATTGTCATTGCAGCTCAAGCCCAACGGTGTTTGTATGTTTGAGAGAGAGAGAGACGACGGAGAGAGGTGGGCCTTTCTAGAGCTGGAATTTGTTGGCGATTTTGCAATCATTTTGGACAGTAGATAAGGACTTGTTTGCCTATAAATATATATTGTTTGTAAGGCTGAAAACGGATATGGGATTCAAATCAGATATGCCTACATCAATATGGTCCACTAATATTCAGATTTAGACCAATCTTTTTCCGTCAAATTCATATCAAATTTGGATCTGATTCAAATTTCAGATATTAGACATACTTAATAAGTTAAAGTAAAAATTATCAAAATATTACATGTAGGGTAAATTATATTTATTCTACATTTGGAGTTTCGTTCAATACTAGTTTTATATTTGTATTATCCCATTGGGTTTCAGTTAATACTATATTACTATTATTGTTGTTATTGTTGCTTATATTGTTGTTGTTGTTGCTGCTTTTATTATTTTATGAATTTATTTTTTATTTTTTATATGTATTTTAATATTCTAATTCAGAAAAAACAAAAAAAAAATACTTCAAGTATAAATGGGCTTATTTTATCCATACAATACACAAGGTGATAAAAGGGGTTAAAAATGGTCCATCCAAGTATAGACGAAGGTACTACTGGAAAAGTATAGACAGGCCCAATGCAGATTTCTGATTTCTGCTACATAGTTATAAATATTCAAAATGTCAACAACCCACACTCTATGCATTAATGCCCACCTGTGAATTGGCATCAATTCCGAACTGGCACCTATCCTAACAATACTTTAGGCCTATAAATTCTGACCCTGACTGAACCGTCATTCTCCCTTCACCTGATCTTTGTCCTCCTTTTTCTATCTTCTATTATGTTTAAATACAGTGGCTTGTAATAATTTTTTTTTTATGAATGAATTACTTTAATAGCTTTAAAAAAAGAAAAAAAAAGTAAAGTGACGAAATGATGGAATAAGTAACTCACCCTTGAACTACATATGATAAGTTAATGGGTAACCAAAGGGAAGGTCTTAGAAATTATGTTGTTGTTATGCATATAATACACCATTGTATTTGCCTTGGTTTTGGTGCAAGTCATAAAAATTAAATTTAAGTATATAATATCAATTTATATTTTACTTTTTAATTGTACATGTTCATAGCACTTGCCCTCACAGTAGTAAAGTATAAAATAACTTGTATGAGACTTGAACCAATGATCCTTTATTAAAAAAATACAACATTTAAACCAACTTTACTCGTGAATGCATATTAATTTGATGCAACAGATATATACTTAAATATTATCAAATTCAGTTCAAATTGTATTGGATTTGGATGGATCCATGTTTGACCCAATTATAAATGGATCACTTTAGGATCACATTAAATCAAATTGAATCTAAATTCGGAACTGCAGTAAGCATGTGTTGTTTTCAGAATTGCAGCCCTACTTGCTTGCCCATTTCTTTAGGCTTCATTTGGAATTGATGTAAAACTTCATTACACTGAACTATAAAAAAGTGACCGTTAATTTCGAAAAGTGTGAATTCAAAAAGTATGGAGTTTTACGCTACATTTGAATGCTATGTAAATCAAGAACCGATATAAATTTTACATTGGTTCGGTTTTGTATGCATTTGGAAAGAGGGTGTAATTATTATTGACATAAAACTACACTCCAGTTCAATTTTGTGTGTTTGGATGGAGTGTAGTTTTACATCCATAATTAATGTAAATCCTCATCAACTCTGAAGTTTTACATTAATAAAATTACATCGATTTTATCGATGTAAAACTTTACACTCTTCCACCCATTACTATTTTCAAAAAAGTAACAATCACTTTTTGGTTCAGTGTAAAACATCATCAGTGTATTTTTACAATGATTCCAAACGCAACCTTACATCGAATTTATCGATGCAAATACTGCATCAATAATCGATGTAAAACTTTACATGTGATGAAGTTTTACATCGATTTACGACATAAAACTCCTCTCCATCCAAATGCCAACAACTCTAAACCGGAGTAGAGTTTTACGTTGATCTTGATTTACACTCTTCCAAATACCGATAAAACCAAGCTGACATAAATATTCACATTGATCTTGATTTAGATCGCTTCCAAATGCAGCCTTATTTTCTTAATTTCGCACATAGGTTAGAAAGCCAATCAGCCAATCGCTATAGCAGAGAGCCACCACATCCATCTGTCTAAACAAGCTTCTCCGGCTGGGATCTCCTTCAGCTTTCTATTCATCTCTTATTTTCTATCAGACCAAACACTTTCTCTTTAGTATCCATCAAATCATCCATTTTGATGGATCTCCTCCAAATAAATTACTATATCAGTAATAAAGTAATTTATTCTTTTCAAGTCTTTTTTGTCTTTTAGACTATATTTTGCTTATCCATTAATTGGAGGGAGAATTTGAAAGACTGAAACATTTCAACTATTATATTCTACAAATAAAAACTTTTTTTTTTTTGTTTTTTTAGCCCCTTTTATCTTGTAATCATGTAAACGACAAAGTAAACAAAAGCTTCCATCATAAAAAATAGATAAAAGAAATAGCTTAAGCATTCCAGCATGAAAAAGTTTCCATTAATTTTGAAATCTGAAAAGTTAAAAAGATATTATAAGTGTCTGAAATCTGAAAAGAGGCATTAATGTTTTTCTACTTTTTAGAGATTCTTTATAGACAAAGTTATTTGTTTTGGATCAACCTTTCAACATCTGAAAATCCATAAATTACTATTTTACCCCTAAAACAGACTATGTGATAATTTTGAGTTCAATTTTCACTATTTCATATAAATAATTTATTAAATTCAAAATAATATTAAGAATACGAGTAAATTATAAAAATAAAAAATAATTTATTAAAATACAAATAAAATTGAAAAATACATATAAATTTATATTAAAAACAAATTATTAAGAGTTAAAATAATAATGAAAATAGTAATAAAGTCCATGAAACAATGAAAAAATATTTAATAATTATCAAATTATTAAATGAAAACTATTAAAATATTTAAATTTTTATAAAAAAAATAAAATAATTAATAATTAATACAAAATAAAAATTATAAACAATAAAAACATTAATATTTAATAAATTTATAAATTAAAAATAAATTTATAATTTGATAATTATTATAAATAAATTTATAAGTTATAATTCAACTTCTCTCTACCACAATCGAAACCTTCCCTACTGCTTCCTTCTCCCTCTCATGAACTCCACAAACACAACCATCAAGCTAGACTCAGAACCCGAGCCGTTCAAATCTCCATCAATTCCCTGGTTTTATTTATTTGACTCCCCGTCAGAGAAGATAATAGGAGTTGTCATTGTTGGAGCTGGGTTTCAGATCTTCATTATTGTCTGGATCGAGGGTTTCCTTCAAACAGATGTTGTCGATGGATTTATCCTAGATCGAGGATTTTGGATCTTCATTACTGCCTACCTCGAACAACACCACCGTCGGCCGACTCAGAACAACAATAGTGGTGGCCGGTAGGAAGACATGGGAAAGAGAGAGAGAGAGAGAGAGAGAGAGGGAAATCGAATAGGACTGCCAACTGAGAACGCCACTGCTGAAAAATCGAACAGGACCGTCACCAACCGACTGAGAACAGAGACAGTGGCGGTTGGCGGGAAGACAGGGGAGAGAGAACGTGAGAAAGAGGGAGGGAGGGAGAGGAAAATCAAACATGACCGCTGATTGAGAATGCCACTACTGAGAAATCGAATAGGACCGCCGCCGGTCGACTAAGAAGAATGGCAGTGGCGGACGACGAATATAGTGTTTCTTCGAGTTCTCACCGTCTCCCTTCGAGTCTTGTCCCTACGTCACTGATGGTTAGGAGTCAAATGAAAAAAAAAATAGGTTTAAAAAGGGATATCCAATTATCCATTTCAATATTATGAGAGGCATTTAAGACTTTCAAATACATCTTAAACGCGTCTAAGCACGTTCAGTGATGGCCCATTATCTAAACATTCTAAGTACCACCTTTTTTATTAATATATCAATCCATTATCCTCTAAGTTTGCCATAATTTTGCATCACATCGAATGTAACACATACCTTGCGCGATTTGTGTGCAAAATCATGGCTGTTGGTTCCTTGTTAAAAAGCACACTTTATGAGAATTCTGTACCCATTATTCTATATGCATCGAAATTCTTCATGTTTTACTCGGTAAGAGGATTAAAGACTATTGAATTCCATTGGGTTGAATACACTCTTGTATATGATGGACTCTTTCATGATTCAACCACCTTAATTGAAAATAATCTCCAAACGGGTATCTAGATTTTAGCAAGGTTCAAAATATCGTCACGTATTGGCTGATACGTATCGTATTGAAGTCTTCTTGATTAGAGGTGATCATGGATCGGGCCTAGGTCGGGCTTTGCACTTATGATAAGGGCTATAGCTTAGTCTCGGGGTTTCAGGCCTGTAACATAAACCCTAGCCTAGGTCTACATGGGCCCGGGCCTGATTTCGGGCCAATGTCTTTCATATATGAAACATTACATATCTATAATATTTTATATTAAAAGTTTATTTTATATATTATATAATATATAAAACATGCATATAAACTTTGATTTAATATATTATATAATATAAAATATTACATATAATATAAATTATAAATGTCATATTATAATATTTGTATATAAAATATATAATATAATGTAAGATAAAATGTATACATTATACATAAAATACGTAAGTTTAAATATATGCGGACCGGGCCGGGCTTGAAGTATTAAGACCAAGCCCGGCCCTAAAATTTACAGGCCTGATGTGAGTACAGGCCCGGGCCAGGCCTGAATACAAAACCTAGGCCCAACCCGGAATTTCCAGGCCAGGATGAAATGATCACCCCTATTCCTGATGCACCCTTACAGAAATAGGGAATAAGGTTGGGTTGGCAAGTGGTTCAGGAATAGACCAGCCCCTCTGAACCGGATTTAAAAAAAAATAAAAAAACAGTACCGATACAGGCTGATACACCCTACTGGCATATTGCCCTGTATCGATACATAATTGTTTAGAATTATTTAGGCTGGAATGAGAATATAGAGATATGGATTCTTGTGGGGGAGAGAAACATAAAACCTGGAAGGAAATATTACAGGATCCCTGTACCACATAATGTTTATGGGCCCTACAATCCCATAACTTTATGTACCACATACTGTTTATGGGCCCTACAAGCCCATGACTCTATCATTTATGGGCTCCACTTAGTACCCCGACAATTTGCCAACCCCAACTCTTTCTGTGTCGGTCCAGGTTTTGATCTCTCAACCAATCTTCTTTTATTAACTACTAATAAAACCGAGGCCCAGTTCAAATTATTGCAAGCAAGTGTTTGAATTGAATTTATTACTTTGCTGCCTCTGCAACCGCAGGGCCCACCATTGGATCTACATACTCTGTACATACAACTCTGACGTTTTCATCTTTTTTATCAGACTGGGAGCTTTTCTTCACGGGCGACATTCTCCTGGTGAGCCTAACGGAGACCAGCGCCAGCAGTGTCGCAGAGGGCACAAATATGGAATCAGGGATGACCTTGATCTTCTTAACCTGTGGGACGTTCTCTCCGACTCTCTTCAGAACCATGGCCGCCGGTGGAGTCACCAATCCGACGATGACGGTGGTGTCATCCAGCTTGCTAAGCTTGGCGTTCTTCTTCACGAAATCGATAAACACCTTCTTCTTCTCTGAATCTGGGGCTGCTTCCCAATTTCTAAAACATGCCTGCATTTTGTTTTTTAAGTAAAAACCACATTGGGGTGTAACGTTCAGCAGTAAGAGAACGGATCGTAAAGCAATATGAAATCCTTCATTTCCTTACCTCCACATCTTCCTGTGGCGGTACATCGTAATGCCTACCGGGCAACGATGAGTTGAACGAGCTGCATTCACAAGGCGAAGTGTAAGATTGAGGAGCTGCATTCAATGGACCGGTTTTGGATTGACATCAATTTGCACCGATTGGATGGATTAACAAGACATATTGGATTAGACCAATCCAGTACAAAATATTTATTAGATTGGATTGGACCTGATCCATTTTAACAAATTTATCTCCATTGGTTTGGATTAAACTAATATTTGGTTCATTGATATAAGATAAGAATATATGTATCAATAGACTCGGTTTGGATTGAAACCAATCTAAATTAAAATGCATTTAAACAGATTGAACGGTCTAAACATTGAATTGGACTAGTCCGAATTGATCCAAAACATTTATTGGATTTAATTGAACCTGGTCCATTTATAATGGACTCACATTAGACTGGATGGGATTGGATCAGATTCAGTCCAATTGGCACCCCTAGGGATGACACCCTCCTCTAATTGGTATTGAAATGGGACACGAGGAAGTGAAGTTTAGTTGTTTTGCTCTGGGGAAGTTTGTAACATCGCCAATATATGCATCAATAGAATAGGGTTGTCAATGGGTCGGGTTTACCCGATGGATCCTAATGGACCAAATCAATTATAACAATTTTGGTTCTATAATTTTGTTCTAATTAATAATTAGGTCAATTATGGTTCTTGATTGTTCCGAACTGATTATTTTATTTTTACATATAATATTTTCTTAATTGAGGCTAGTTGCCAAAATACCCTTGATAAATCTGAATTCTGAGTTACCTGAAAATATCAAGAATGGCAAGATGGAAATCCTCAAAGTCGAGAATGGGTTTCTTAATGAACCGCTTGTAGAGTTCATCTGTTACCGAATCCAATATCCATAGATTCTTTAATGAAGGCCCTAAGGAAATAAAAGAAAAAAAAACAAAGATAAGTAAATTCTATCAAATATTTCTTTGTATCTTTAATAGAAAATTTTCCCAATATGCATGCTTTTGTTTTTCTTTTTTTTGAAATAAAGCATACATATTCCAAAAAAGGTATACATATTCGTGAATAACCCAAAGTTGTCCATCCGAATTTTTTTTTTTTTAATTTGAAAAATACCCATTATAAGTTGGACACATAGAAGATTCATGGTTGCTAGAAAAATAAAATTATGAACTTAAGCACAAATATAACTACATGAAATGGGTCCATTGAATCCATTCCAAACCCAATTCCTAATAAAACAATGGAATGAAGTCATCACCTAAATTCATTCTAATTTTTTCATAATTGGAAACAACAAACTAATTTCAAAAATTGGTATACAAAAGTAAATTAAGTGGTTCTATATAGATTGATAAAATAAAATAAACGTGAATCCAAGAAGAGGAAGAAGTAAAGATACGATTGCATGAAGATGAAATGGAGAAAGAAATTTACAGACCGTTTCCCATGAAACTCATGAACATCCCCATCTTGAACGATGACAAAAGGAACCCAGATTACAGCAACTTAAAGAAGCAGGATGGGTTCATCTATATGTATGACAATACAGAACAACGGGCAGAAATAAAAAAATGAAAGCCGATAAAGGGAGAAAGAAGAATGGGATAAGATTGCTTGTGTAAGTTGTAAGGATTCTGGGTGAATGTAAGCAAGGAATAATATATCTGATTCTTGACTTAATTTAGGTGTTATAGAACCGTTGGAAAATTGGGAACAGCTGTTGCAACCGATCGACCTGCAGATCAAGATGTTCAGCATCCATTCAAAGAGCTTCTCAATTACCAAAATGCCCTCCCTTTTTTCCTTTTTACAGCAAATTATCAAAATAACCTTGCATAATGAGGTGGCAACATATAATGTTTCCACTTATTTCCCGGCATGACCCTTTTTTTTTTGTGTGTCTAGTAAGCTTTTAGTTCGATAGGTTTGTGATGTGGCATAACGAATTCTTCTTTGACCCTCTTTAATTTATATAAAATAAAGGTAAGCTAGCTGAACCAGCTTTGTGGCTTTTGAAAAATAAAATATTTTGTTTTATGAATATAAAATATTTTGGCTTGTGGAAAAGATGAGAAATCAAAACCTTGTTGTATTACAAATTTAGGGGTATTTGTCAACGTGTATGGTTTTGTTTCTAAAAAATAAAAAAGCAAAAACAATTTTCATGTCAATAAAAATATATTAATTTTGCTGATGTAAAAGTTTTTTATTTATTTTAAAAATAAAACCGATCATGTTGCTGAATACCCCTTTAATTAGCTAGGCTTCGTTTGGTGCATGCTTGGCAATTTTGGCAAATTCTTATTAGTATTCCATTATTTTTATTTTTTAGTATGTATTTGGTTTTATTTACATTTTTCCATCCAACCTTTGTACTTTATTTACTTGTAAAACTGAGAAAAGTAATAATTATAATCATTTATGACAATTAGGCACCATTAGACTCCACATCAGTGCAACAGTGAAAAAACGCCTGACCGTTTGTAAAAGCTTTAAAAAATAACTTCCATGTATAAATGAAATAAAATAAGACGTGAAACAAAACAAAATAAGATCCAAAATAAAATTAAATCAGAATTTGTATTCTTTTCATTTGCATTCCCATGCATTTGTACTAGTACTAATAAGATTGCATTGCAACCAACACAGCCTTAAGGTTTAATTTCTAGATAAGGGAATCCATCTTCCTCGACAAAAGGAATAAAAATTGGCTTAGGTACCATAGAACTCAATCGATTATAATTAGATCTTTAACCATGATGTTGATGTTTCTAGATTCGTCATTCCCAACCATTTCACAAATTGAATCCTCCCCAATCCAATTATTATTATTTTTTTTAAATTCACTGAATCACCCTTTCCAATTCTCCATATCATATCTTATTATCTTTTTGTGAGAATCTCATGTTGTTGGAGTATACCTTTCTATGCCCAAGATGCCCTACTATGGATTTGATATCCCATAGACTATTGTTTCAGATATGCTTACTTTTCACAACCTTTAACTCATAAATGAAGGTTTTGAATGCCCCAACCACCTTCCTCAACAGATTTTTTTTTTTTTTTTTTTGCATCTTATCAAATATTTACCAAGGGTGAGTTTGGAAGCAGCACAAATACAAATATGTAGAGTGCAAAACCTTATATTTTGTATTTATTTATGCTGTACATATTTGTATTTGTACTCTTTCCAAACTGAGCCCAAGGTTGTGTTCAGGATTTTGAAAGAACTCGTCATAAAAATTGGCATCATATTAATGGTAGGCTTAAGAAGGGTAATCTTTGCCTGCTAGTGAGAGAGTTTTTCTTTTTTTGCTTCCATTCACTTAAACTTGTCTCTGTTCTCTCCAAATTTTAAAAGTGGTCCTAATAACCCTAGCATCAATGATAGGAGCACCCAAATATTTCTCTTTTTTATTTTCCAAAGGGATTTTAAGGATTTTTGCTAAGATTTTCTGAAATTTCTTTAGGACATTACTAGAATACATAAGGTCTGATTTCCTAACATTTGGACATTGACCTGAAGCCCTAGGAAACTTTTCAATGATTTTTTTAATTTTCTTAGCATTTTGGAGGAAAATATTTGTAAAGATTAGGCAATATACCCAGATTATATTCTTTTCATTTATTCATCATTTACCATGTGGGAGATCTAAATTCCACTAAGATAGACTATAAAACTAGTTTAAAATTCTATAGTCATGTATATAAAAGTGATGGAAGGCATGCCATGTGATAGATTTTTAAAGATAAAATTCTATGGTCATGGCTACATGTAAGGTGGAGAACATTCCATGTGATGGACTTTTAAAGGTATGTGATTGATTTGGTTAAAATCATCTAATGAGGGGATCTTTGAACTCTGTTCTGCTCCATCCAATCTCCATTGCCGGTGTTGTTTGTGTTCTGCTTGTATGGACAGAATCCCTGGGGTACTTGTGTTTCTTCATTGTCACCTATAGGCTATTGCAGTTTGCTTATGATCATGTGGATGTACAATAGCGTCCTAAATTGTGTTTCCTTCATTTTCCTTGTCGAGTTGAACTCTTCCCAAATTCCCATAAATGCTGGGGCTGCTACTGCTATGCCCCTGACACCAAATATGAAATTTCCAACAATTTATCATCACTTCACTAGGTTTACTTAGTGGGATATCTTATGTCTGCCTGCTTGCCTTCTGTCTTATTTGATCTCTTCTTTAGTCATCCTATTGAGATACACGATTTGATATTTCCCAGGAGTAGTTGGACCCATTTTCCTTATTGCTGATGAACTATCAATTCTTGCAAATAGTTGCAGACAATGGTGGTTGCTGAGGCATTGAATCTCCCATAGCTCTACAATCTCATGATAACTCAGGTTGGTGATCCTACAAGCCACTAGTCAATTAGAATTTCGCATAATTTGGTAGATAATGTAAACTCGGATGATCCCAAAATTTCTTTTCATAGTTTAATTGATGATAGTTTCTTACGAGGAAATCACATGTAGTCCACATAAAAATGACACAAAAATTTCATCTATTTCTGCATGATCAAAGGGGCAAACCATTAAGAATTGTTCATAAAGTTGCGTAGTTTACTGAGTTTTCTGTATTGTTCCTAATGACTGACAAAAAAGCATTAGAAGAAAAGTTTTAGATATGGATTGTTTGATTTTAATCTCATAAGAGATTAAATTCAATGGGTTTGATTGGTCAATTACATGAGAAATTGCACCTACAGACTTGATTGAAAAATTAGCTGTTCTCTTACAAAACCCAGTTTTGAACTTGTCCCACATTGGAAAAATTATAAGCATTGTTTTCAGTATTTTAATAGGAGCTGATTTACACTCCTTAGAAATAGTAGAGGAGAGTATGGGGGTTTGATATCGGGCAATGCGCGTGCGTGTGTGCGATGCAATGAGGCACTTTAGAGGTTCACTTTGCTCGCACTTCGCGCGCACTTGCGTGGCTCGCAAAGGGCGGCTTTGGTTTTGGTGCGATGCTGACCATTGATCACCATTGATGAGATCAACGGTCACGATTCGATTGGGTGTGATCAAGAGGCACAATTCAAAGTTAACAGTCATTAACTGTTAACTACTTTTTAAACAGTCGCAATGTTTGAAATTGTGACTGTTCAAGGTGCCTTCTCTAAACCAGCACCTACTTGTTCTTTATACCTCTTCATAAACTATTTAAGAAGCATGAATCAGACTTCAAAAACATAATTTCGAAATCCACTTTCTTGAAAGAATGGTAGGATCCATCGTATGGACGCCAAAAAGGTTGCGGAATGGGTGGGCAAATTTCAAAAATTTCCTACATTTTTTCCAACTGGGAATCATATTCCTTAAATTTAGAATCAAGATTCAAGGATCTACTCGAACCAAACCAAACCAGATTTGAACTAAAAGAGAAGGGAGGAATTATAGAAGATCTGGAGAAACAGCATCTCTCAATGTTGGTGTTCACGCCCAAAGAATATCCCAAGATCAACTCCCACTGAAGATGACACAATGATGATGGAGCCGAACCAGCAGTGTTCGTCCCACGAACCAGGTTCTTCTGAAGAACTCGATGGAAAACTGAGAGCACCACACGAACAATCAAGAACCTTTCTTGATCTTCTCTGACTAAGAACTCGAACTGGCAGAAAAGGTGGCGGCGGCTGCTGGAGGAGAATGCTAGAGAAGAAGGTGGCGAACTGCTATTTTCTTCTCTAGGGTTATCTGAGATCCTATCTCAAGAATGCAGAGTCATCTGCTAAAAACCCTTAGGGTTCGAATTCAAAGAATTCGAATTAGGGTTTCCTCMTCTTTCTTGGTGATTAAGAAACCTCCTAATCATATTGGGAGTTGCCCTAATTCAAATCTATATTTGGATTAGGACTCCTCTTAATCCTATTTGCAGATTAGATAAGCTTTTGGGCTTAACCTAATCTCAGGTCCACCCCTTTAAGTGACTGATCAAATCAGCCCAGATCGAAATGGGCTTTAGGCCCAATATGTATTAAGTGCTCAATAGTCTTCCAAACTACTGCCCAGTTGGGCTTCTTTGTATGGCGTGGGACCCAAGCATTGATCTACACATCAACCACATGGGTTCGGCCCAACCTCTGTTACAAGGCCTAGCCCAAATTCACTAGAAAGCCTAGTGAACCCCTTGAGCCCATCACATTGACTCTATGGGCCCAACACTTACACTAAGTGGTCCTTGGGCCAAACCATCTTATAAAAACCTAAGGACTGTGGGCAGACGCAAGATTAGCCCATCAGGTATTACCCTAAATGGCCTTGCACTTAACCTCTCAACCCATAATGATCAAACACTGCCCGACAAGAGAGGATTTCTCCCTCGGCTGCAAGGAACAGTGCTGCACTCTCTATTCACATGGATCCCGAGAATTAAAACCATTTGCAAACATTTTGAAACCATATATAAGTATATACCATATATATAAATTTGCAAGACAAATTCCAACGATTGAAATCAACTGTCGGCATTTTGGTTCCATCAGAGAGAGT